AATCTCCAAATTTTCAATAGAAATCTCCATCCAAAAGCCTCCAAAAGAATCAAATCTCAATGGAAATCTCCAAATGTTTGATAGACATCTCAATCCAAAAGGCTGTAAGATAAGCAAATCCCAGCAAATTCAAAAGGGAAAAAGTAAACTATAACAATAAAAAAAAATCCACTACAACTACCCCTCCAAAAAAAAAAAGACATTATTCTAGGGGCCTTTATTAATCAGTGCAGGGGAAAAAAAAGACATAATTCTAGGGGTCTTTATTAATCTGAGGACTACATTACCCGCAAACAAGCGGTGATAAATTGCCCGTATGATGTTCTACTAAAACCCTCTAAAACCCACTCCTTCACAGCTTGCCAAACTTAACTTCTGCGCGCACTTCATTGCAAAAATCAAAAAACGGTTTCCAGTGTGGCAGGGGTGAGGTGGCATTTGGCGGTCTCTGGAGAGCCCTACGTTTTCCACAAGGTTTTGACGTTGTGAGTCGCTTGCAAGGATTTCCGCTCGCATGTTCTAGGCGTGCATCTTGGACAATATATGAAGGTGCTAAATTGTTGTGAACTTGTTTCTGACCCAACTAGTAGCTAGAAGCTACTGGTAACAAGGGCATCGCTACTAGTAGGGGGAGCGCCCCTGTAAGCGAAACTCAAAAGGGTTCCTCTTTGAGACTTGTTCTTACTGGCTGCTTCTAGGTTGGAGGCCATTACAATTAGATTGGGATTAAAAATTCTCCCTTCCCTCTTAGTCGTTCTTACCCGGTCGTCCCAGGTCAAGGACGGATTTGGAAACCATGACTCGGAAACTACGGTCTGACTCTGCGACCATAGCGGTTACCCCAAGAAGGAGCCAAAGAAAAACTAATGAAATGGCCACACTGCACCCTTGCAGCTGAAAGCGACACGGGGAAACCTTTTCGATGATCGGGTGTCTCGATGATCGGGTATCATCCCCCACACCAAATCCGCATGATGAGGCGTTTGCCGTGTTCGGAGTTCGTGTTGAACTTACTTTTACGCTTCGCTTCTGTGAACCTGTGTGTTTGATGTGCTTGTTCAAATCGTAGTTTCCGAATCGGAATTGATTCGTCGTCCCAGGCCTTCAGCATGAGCGACCTTCACGCTTGGAACGCTGGGAAGCGCCAAGGCCATGGCTGCTCGGCGCTTGGGCGGGTCGGAGAAAAAGGGTCGCACCACGTCGTTCCACGGCATTTTCCTGGAGGGCTTCACTCAACAACCTCTCCTGAGCTAGACAGTCATGAGACTTCTTGTAACTATTTCTGGCAACCTTCTACCTAATTACTGTGCATAAATCATCTACCAGACTGTGGTGTGGTGCCAAGTTTGCCCTTGTGATCAAGCAAACTGTCAACTCGATCCACAGCTGTGCCATGCACCGAACTCAGTTTCAGCTCGAAACGGCACAGTGTCGGCAAAGTGTCGCATCGAAGAGGTCACGAGGTCACCCTGGGTCAACACAGACCCAAACACCAAAGCTTCACAGCAGACCTGATATCAGTGCTTCATCTCTACGGCTGATAAACACAGATTTGACAGCGCGTGTGTGTTAGTGGAAGTCTGGAGCTGAACCAGTTCTTCAAATGTCTGTGGACAGGTCACCATCCAGGTTGAGAGTTTTGATCGCCCTGGGTCGCATCGTGGAAGTGGCAGACTTGTCTAAAAGCTCGCTTTGGGAAGGAGCATCCTGATTTCGTTCATCGCCAGAACCGGTCGCCTCCTTAACCATCAAACCTAACATGGACACCGGGCAAAGGGCGTGGCACCGGGGTCGGAAACGGACGATGGAACGAGGTCGATGGAACGCACAGCTTTTTGTGAAACGTTCAATGACCTTGCGCAGGTCGCTGTCCACGTCTCCCATATTGGAGAGAACTCCGTGTCTACTCCTGGCGACAGCAAACTCTCCCTCTCACTTTCGACGGAATGCAAGACTGCGAGACTTACGGATAGGTGCCTGAAGTATTGGGATGTATGTGTTGGATAATTCTTTTTGTCCGGAGACAAAGCAGCCAACAAATCTTTGAGACATATTCTAAATTCATCTAAGTTCTAGATTATCCTTTAGATTCTTGGCCAAGATATAGCTGCTCTCGAAAACGGCGCGTCTAAGACTAGGCACGGGATCAGTGATGTCAGGTAAAACAACAATGGCCCAACAGCAGTATGATCTGTCACACCAGCTTGGAATTCTGCTCAACAGTGGAATTGTAGTGCAGGAGGTTTCACCGCTAACTAACACCCTGGAAAACAAGACGCGGAAGGGCCACAGCTTTGGGGATTTCTCAAGTGTCCAGACAAGGAGCTAGAATAATTGGTCTGGTGTTTCTTTTTTGAAACGATTTTTCAAGACATTAACGTATTTATATATACGTATTTTGCATGCTGTATTCTATATCCATCTGACCGTACAATCACTCCGCAGCCTGTCCTCAGCCTCATTGCTTGTGAGAAATCAGCTTGATGAGTTGATCCTGCCATGAGACGAATCCACCGCAGTCCGAAAGTCCCCAGCCTCGAGAAGGCGAGACGTAGTGGACGTTGCGCTAAGCTACAGCCGAAAAGGGAACGGACGAGTTCATGCTTTGCTTCACAAAGAACAAAGTATATATGAGTTCAGCCACCGAAACGCTCGCGTGCGTTCAAGATGAGACGGAACCGTCTCTCTCTCTCTCTCTCTCTTTCCGCCACAGGAACATACTAGTATAGGTGGATGATGGTCCGCTCGCACAAGACGTTTTCCTGCCAAAGTATGCGTTGTTGGTTCCTGACGTGTCCCATTTAGTGGCCACTAACTCAGTAGTCTGGTTCTGCTCCGCCCCTATTAACCAACCTCCCTCCCCAGCAGGATCCCTGGATCCAACCGTCACTTATGGACTCTGTTAAAATAAACGTTGGCAACATGTATCCCCGGGAATTTCTCGAAAAAGTGCCTCAGAATAGGACCTCTCGAAAAGCAACATGCTTACCCTTGCAAATGGACACCCTGGATGACACAAACCGATGGTGAAACATGGGCGGCGTACCCAGGGCCAGCCGCGCCCAAAAGCCAGCTGTAAGAGAAGCCGAAGCACCTCGGACCACGTGTGGGATGAGAAGGCTTGACTTGGAAGGAATCGAACATTGACCTCCTATCATGGAACATCTTTTCTTTTTCGACCTTCTTTGCCTTCGCATGGGACTTCTAAATGCGTTTCTTTTGGACAAGTAACATCCAAGGCCATGTTCAGCTGCTTCTCTCAGGCCGTGTTGATTCTTTTTGAAAGGAACACCGTCGAAATTGGAATACGACTTGGTTCCTGGATGCAGTGAGAAGATCAGCGAATCCGCTCAAAAAGAGCTTGCACCTTTCGCAGCGGGTCTCCCATGATGGTCGCTTACGTCCAACTTTCATCCAGCTGATCTCGCCTTTGCCTTTATCAACTTCACTCCAATCGCATCCACCTGAACTTCACTCCTTCACCACCAACAGCACCTGACTCACTTGACCGTCTATGATATCCACTGAACACGGGTGGTGTTTCCACAGCTCCGCACCGAGACCACGAGCAGCGCCAGGAAGAAGTTCGTCACGCTGCGCCCGGAGATCCGAGGCCTCGGCGGGCTTTCGTCGCTGACGGACGCAGCTCCTCTCGGAGCTGCGGAAGGGACAAAGAGAGAGATGGGGGGGGCAGCCTAAAAGCGATGGCCTCCAACTCGGTGGCTCCCAGGGCTGGATCAGAATCTGTCCATCAAAGTCTGAAATTCCTCCCCCAAAACAACCAACGGTTTCGCCCGTTGATTTTTCATGCGAATGCCATGCTTTCAAGCTGATGCGCCCGGCTTCAGTCCTTCCCGGCCCGGGAACCCGGTGGACGCCGACCGATACCGAGTCACAACGAGCTGGTGCGCGCCACTGAGGTGATAATGCAACGATTCCTGCGGTTGGTCCGGACACCGGGACGCCTCCCGGATCCATCGAAGGTGTCCACGCTCTCGGGATGTCCGAGAAGACGCAAAGACATCGGATGATTCGTGAATGGTTTCTCAGAGGACTCCAAAGCAAACATCCGTGTCGTATGGTTTGTCAGAACACCTTGCAATCTCTGAGGCATATCCGGTAGGATGGCAATCTGAGCTTCTTCGTCTCTCTCTCTCTCTCTCTCTTCCTCTAATCTCTATGTTTAACTTTCGATGCTGTGCAAGCTCGGGAAACAAAGCTGGTTCATTTGCCTGAGGGCAACCCCTCCACCAACCAAGTTCGTCAAGGGTCACAGCTGTGCCATCTCTCTCCTGCCTTTGGACTTACTAGTCGCTTCCCCTGAGATCTTCCGTCTCCTCATCGACAGTCGGAAGCCAAGGGACCTGACAAGAAAGGCATTGCTCCAATTCACTGGATACTCTGTAGTAAGTCGGTCTAACACATTCCACATTCTTTTACTGCCGTTTGTGCCCGAAGTTGCAACCCATGTCAAGACTCCAGTGAAATCCAGTGAATCTCTTTCAAACATTTGAACTGTGGGAACAAATCACAGGGCCAGCGGGAAGGGGCTTTCCAGGCCTCAGGATACCTAAAAGTCCATGGCGCATTATGCTTCCGATCTCGAGGATTCCAGCAAGCTTTGATTCTGTCGGTCAATTGCTGAGAACGATTGTTTAAATAGTACTATGATCGACAAAGCTGGACACTCGTCACGGCTTCCAAGGGTGTGGAAGCCTTCGAATTCCTCAAATGCCATGCTATCTTCAGGAGGCTACCTTTTGTAACAAGCTACTAGTAACAAGTGCATCGCTAGTAGTAACAAGTGCCTTACTAGTAGTAACAAGAAGCTATTAGAAACAAGTGCCTTACAACGGGTCCCTCCGCGATGGAGTCTCGTGGTCCCTCCATCCCGCTGGGGCCCGCACACTGCGGCGATGCCTGCTGTGAAGGCTAAGGATTCCGGAGCCCGCAGCAGAATGGCACCACCTGGGTCTGTTTTGAAACGCAAGGTGAGAAAAGGGCGTCAGCAGGGTGGACCTTGGCTCTGCTGTAGGTCCGTATTTGAACAACTTGGCTCACAGTTCTCAGCACCCCCAGGACGAACTTCACGCATCGTCGTTTTGGAGGAGACAAACCACGGGTGGCTTCGGGCAATGTAAATGACAATCACCTGAACAGGTGCATCGCTAGTGGTAACAAGTGCCTTACTAGTAGTAACAATAAGAACTTAATTGTAGTTATTAGCAAAGGAAGCTACTATATAGGACCTTTTCGCGTTCCAATTGAAATCTCTGAAAAATACCAAGACAGAGAGCGAGCGAGCAAGCGAGAGAGGGGTTTCACAGCCCCCGCCAGGTTGGTTGGATGCTGGTCTGGATGCTAGGTCTCCAGGTTTTGATGATATTCCGTGGAGCTGGAATCTGGAAGGTGCACATGTTTGGTCGTTTGGGGCAGGCAGGTCACAGGTTAACAGCTATACCACTTGGTTCACCTCAAACTCGGTGGGCGAATTGGAGAGTTCGGCCAACAAACCTGGTAAAGACGCGGCAGCCCACGTGTGATCAAGAGTCCCGGCCAAAAGACATGACCTGAAGCGGCAGCGCAGCTGCGCTCATCTCTAGTTTGGTTGGGGGAATCACCTAGAGACACCTGCCGTGATCATACTGTGGTTCGAGACATTAAACCGCACTGCCAAATGAACTCAAAGAATAGATTGACTAAGCGGGTGGTGGGTGGAGGGTCAATGTTGGGGTCGGTGATGGGGTGTCTTTTGGAGATGTATCAAGTGTCACCTCACATGGTGACTCATGGATAGGCAATATGACAGGTAAACATTTATCTAAACAACATAGCACTGTCCTTGAGCAACTAGGTGCAATGTGTTCCTTGCAAGGCGTGAATGCCCATGAATGTCTCACCATTGAAGGGTCTTTGCATGTCCATCTTCCATCTACTTTTCGCCTCCAAAAGGCTCTTTCGGCGAAAAGGGTCGACCCGCGACCAGTAACGGCATTGCTAATTACTAGGAGCAAGAACTCTACTAGGGGCTCCTGGCCTTATTACTAGGAGCAAGAAGCTACTAGTAACAAGTGCATCGCTTCTAGTGACAAGTGCCTTACTAGTAGTAACAAAAACGCTACTAGGGACTCCTGGCCTTATTACTAGGAGCAAGAAGCCAGCTTCTGGGAATTCCCATGAGGCGCCCCGACCACGAAGGCCCAGTGCGCCACGTCCAGCAACTTGCTGCGGAAGCGCACGGCCCAGCTGCCTGGTGGGCGCACGACTGACCGACCGAGGAGGTGGCTTCCCACCTGGTGGAAACCATATGACGTGCAAGCAACTGGTTCGTGTTTGGAAGTGCTAAGGTCAAAGAAGGAAAGATCTTGGGGATTGTGCAACTGGTTGAATATCTTTGGGATTGCTGAGGTTCCAGGCAGATTTCCTCTCTCAACCGTACAGCACTGGTTTGTGTAGGAAAGTGGTCTCAGAATGAGTCTGCCTTGTCTAAACGGAAGGTCCCTTTGCTGAAGTCGAAAATAGTATCCGGATATTTTGTGGAGAATGACATCACCAAGACCTGGGACTTTGGCATAAAACATACCTTGCAGCGACTCACCTAAAAGGTTCCAATTTCGATCAGTAAAGCCGTCCTCAGGTAACGCCCCTTTGTTCCTAGTAGCGTTCTTGCTACTAGTAGCGATGCCCTTGTTACTAGTAGCGATGCCAGGAGCTACTAGGTTACTAGTAGCTTGTAGATTCCTGGACTTTCGTCCACGAGCTTCGACAGTCATGGTGAGTCCATCTTTTCTTCCACGAAGCACGGTGCTGCTGAGTGTGTGACAAACTGGACGAGGGAAACTCCATTCATTTTTGTTCCGGGTGCTGTGCTGGCGAAAATGTAATAACTTCTTCTTACTGAATCCCTACAAGTGTACTCACCAGCGACACACGTGGTCGGCATTAACGGGAGATGGCCTAACCAACAAAATGTATGGAAAGTTCAGTGTTTGAGCAGTTCAGATGCTTCTGGATGGTCTTCACAGCGTTCCCATCAGAAGTGAGCCACCGACCTTGGGCGAAAACAAAGAAGGGTTGATGTGCCCTTCAGCATCAGGGCTCTAACCAGAAACTGAGATCGGGTGCGGGTTCACATCTTGACATAAGGGAATGGCTCAGCTGAGTATCACTGCGAAATCTTGCTGGCTAACACACACACACACTCACTCACTCACTCACTCACTCACTCACTCTCTCTCTCTCTCTCTCTTGCCCAGTTCATGTCCAGTGGAGAAACTAATCATTTTGAAAACGGTCTCGAGGTTTCTTGAATGAGTTTGACAGCCAACGACACCATCATACTTCAAGCGGTGGTGTTGATTTATGAAAAACCTTTTTTAGGATGTTAGACATCTACATCATTTTGACTAGTGGCTGCACTTGTTTTTTAAGTCTCACAACAAATGACCCTTTCTAGAATGTTGGCAAAGTGATAGTCAACGATTTGGCATGTGTTCTTCCCTCGTAGATTTGGCATGAAAGCTGGCAGAAACTGCACAGCGTGGATCCAGATGCAAGAATGATGCTTCATACTACGCACAAGTTCCAGCCTACATAGCAAGCCAACTTCCCAATTTCCAATAATTACATGGGTCGGCCCTTTGCCTCTACTCTTTCTCGGATTATTGTTTGAAGGTTTGCCATAGTGCTCAGCCCCCTCTGGCGAAGAAAGCCTTTTGATCCGCTCGCCTCGATCCACTCCACTGGTTCCCCCATCAACGAAACCATCGAAGCGAAAACGTGCTCAGGCCCGGTGACGGGTCGTTGTAGACCCGGTGACAGGTGGAAACTGAAGGAGCACGAGCGATGGCCTCCAACCTACTAGCTAGCGATGGCCTCCAAGTTGAACCCTCACACTTGGATTGGGGAGATGGAGTGGTTGATGAAAACCCCAGTGATTGCAAGTTGAGTCTTCTTGGAGATCAGTGCCACCGTGCCAACGAGACACGCATCAGTTCCACGTCCGCGGCACCTGCGAAATGTTCCACGTATTCAACGATTTACACACTGAAGGGAACCAAAGGAGATGTTCTCAGCAAAACCCACCAAGGGGCTTGGAAAATGAGCACTTCCGGGCCGGTGCTATGACTTTCGGCTTTCCGGGAGTTCTCGCGGGTCTTACTATCACCTTCCAAAGAAGGTAAAGGAAGCGAGTGAAAATCGATCTGCACATCCAGCAGAACGGTCCAGCCCTCTTATGAGGCATTCCTACTGATGGACCACAGCCTGCACCCTCTAACGTTGTGGAGACTAGTAGTAGCAAATAGCTACTAATAACAAAGGGCTTTGCTACTAGTAACAAGAGCCTCTTGTGTCCTCGTTCCTTTCAGCTGTCGACCTGTCGAGCATGTTACGACCGAGGAACGAGGCCTGTCGGCACTTGATTTTTACATACTCTCCAGAGGTGACCGTTGACAGTCGCCAAGGGCGAGGAACAAACGATGAGCTGAAGATCCTTCCAGAATGCTATGAAGGAATGATGCAAACACAGAGCGATGGATGGTGTGCCAATGAAGATCCCTCCAGAGTTGGATGGAACGGTTTCGCAAAGTTGAGTGACACAGTGCCTGAGGAGTGCCTTTTCCAATGCTGGGAGGCCATGGATCTTAGGTTGGAGGTCATTGCTATTAGGTTCCTCTTGCTATTAGCTTTGGACGCTTGAGATTAACAACACCCACATCACCAAGCCAGGCGCTGAAAGGCTTGATAGGCGTGACGCTCACATCATGCTACGTGGTGCTCTACTTGTCAGGGCCGGAAGCCGTGCAGCTTCCAAATGTGCAGCTCAATTCGTGGGAACTTCTCACGCTCACTTTCCGCTGCAGAGAGGCAGTCCAGCATCACCTGATTCGCGGACTCGGGGTGTGAAGGTCCAAAATACGTTTCTTCAATTTCTTCCCATCGTGGCGTGTTCATCTCAGCCAAACGATTCTGTTTTTTGAAATCCACACATGTTCACAGCAACTTGGGACGACCGAAGCATGAAATTTCTGGCAGTGGAAGAATGATCAAACTATCCCAACTCCATCATCTTACCAATTATATACCTCTTGTGTTCCAAGTGACTTACTACGTAACACCGATTTTATGTGGACCACTTATTCATCACTTGTTGTCATCACCCCTCTTTCCATCATCATTGCTCCTTCCATTTTTTTCACCAAGGCGCCTGGTCATTCTCATTCCACTGCTCCGGAAGCCGCCGCCGTGCCAGGTCCAAAGCCCTGCAGTGCAAGAACGACTTCTATTGATTCACCCACTGCTGAAATGGTCCTTGGAAATAGTAAAAATAGAACATTATGTTTTCGTAACAAAAACGGTCGCTGATGACAGCGTGGTTTGGCCAAATACAATGAGGGAGAAGAACCGATCGTATTTCGGTCAACACGAGTTTCCTTTATTGAGAACTCATCAAACACCGTTGGGTACTGCGCAAACTCGCCACGTTGGTTAAAGTCATTTCTCACCACCCGAGGAATTCTAGCCAAACTCGTCAGACAACCTGCACCTCTCTTGGTCGGCTTTTGATCCATCCCCAAGCCTTTGCCGCCTGCCACTTTAGGTGAATCCACACACGACCACCGTTGGTGCTTCGCTCACGTCACACCGCTGCCTGCGGCCCTTCTCAGCCAAGAGTTTCCGGGTCTGGGTATCGAAGTATTTGCTGGTGGGCTCCAAGAGCTTCTGATAGATGCCTGAGCAACTCAAGCCAGGCGCTTGCTAGCCACGTTAAACCTTTGTTGAGCAGGATAGGGCGACCTTGGTGACCTGGAAATAGGTTTAAATAAGCACCAGAAAATCCATGGGTTCCAACAAGTGTTGGGCCTTTGCCAGACAACCCTGTTTCTGAATATGTGAGCATTTTCAATGTGCCGTGGGGTGCCATGCGAGCATTACAACTCGGTAGTATGTCGGCATAGCACATGTGTCCACATATGTGCAAGGTAGGCAACGCTTCAAACAAGAACCAGGGAACCTTCCCTGATTCAAGCAGATGTCGTACGCCCACAGCGCCTAGTCACTTTCCTGCCTAACTATCAGCTGGTTCTAAAACTGCCACAAACCGGTGGCCCAACAGCTACGTTACTATTGCCTGGCTTGACACAATTGAATCACGTGGTGAAATTAAGTGGATAGACACAGAAAAAAACACACGAACAAAACATGTTTCGATTGTGCTGTTTGTCTCTGTCTTGGTCTCTTTAAAACCCTCCATTCCTGCCATGCCACACTGCCCGGCGCAGAACTGCGCAAAGGGCGCGTCAGGGTGCCGACGGAAGCAAGCGAGACACGCCTGCATGGCGGCCTGGCCGTGGAGAAAAAAACCAGATGCACTGATGGGTGAAATGCCTGGGAATTCCCCACACACGGTGCTTCTACCTGGCTCTAGAAAGGGATGTGATACCCGCAGCTCCAGAAATGATTGTGATGCAAGGAAGTGCATGGTAATTGTTTAACTACATAAGAGATATTGATTGCTTCACAAAGTTCTGCAGAACCCTGAAACTAAGCGAACCCCTTCTGTTCGTTTGAGAGTGGTAGAGAGTTTGAGTGCGCAAGTATCTCGGCCGGCGGCATGATATTGTTCACCACACAGATTGCAAAGCATTGCATGACCTTCTAGACCGTGATTCCGGTGGGCTGCCAGTCTTGCTTGTGCTTCTTTGCCCAGTGCATGGGAGGCTTGCAGACTTGTACTGAGTTCTACTGCTCAACGACAAACACACGAAACCGCATAGCCTCCAGATCGCCCCGCAGTAGCTGGCAGTTGGCCAGGCCCTGGTACGGCCTGGATCCCGAAACCGCGACCAAGCCGACCGAGCCGACCGCAGCATCCGGTGGCCCCTGTCGTTGACCCCGGCAAAGTGTCTGCTAAATGAGGCACATCTGGATGGATGTGCATCCTTCTGCACCCCCTTCAGTCAAGATAATCAAGCCAACCGTGTTTCCCAAAAGATCGTTGCCCGTTGTCAGTCGGCTGCCCAGGGCAGTGATTTTCGCAGGGAAACCATGGATCCCACGTTCGGCCGAGCAGCAACTTGAAGTCGGGGTCCAGTGCAATGGCGCGCCGGTTGCACCTTAGGAAATCACTGGATGCACTTCAAGGAACCTAATAGCGAGGGCCTCCAACCTAGTAGGGAGAATGACACCAACCCCTTTGGTTCTTCCCAAGGAAGATATCTTTGGTGGTATAGAAGGTCTTGGCACCAC